AAAAAAAAAGCTAAAAAATGGTGGTGGGGGCGGCATATTTGAAGATTTGGCTTGGTAACTTTTTTCTTTGAAACTTATATGGAAAGAAACATTAAATTAGCCTTTGAAATAGTTTGAATTACATTTGATTAACATTTAAAGTGAGAAAAAAAAATTCAAAATGTTTACTATTTTGTCATTCTGTTTACTATTTTGTCAAAATGCCTTCACGTATGGCATGTAGCCACTTATACCTTCCATTGGACCCACTTAAATTTTAATTTCTTTAAACATATATAGAATATTTAAGGTAAAATTGATATATTGACCCATTATTTAGAAATTTTGGAGATTTTGACCCATTAAAAAAAATAAAATCACAATAATGACCCTACTAAAACTAAAAATTGAGAATCAACATGTATAATGAACTCATTTGAATTTAATATGTAATAAGGGTTATTTAGTGTTGCTATTGATTTTTGCTTTTGAATTTAATATGTAATAAGGGTTATTTAGTTCTGCTATTGATTTTTGCTTTTGAGCTAAAAAAAAGTTTTATTATCTATACACAATGCTAAATCAACTTTAAAGTAAGCTACAATAGAAGTTTATAAAGGATCTGAACCCACTTAACCAAAATCCTGACCACGCAACTAATGGCATTCAATCTGTTTCCACCCTTCCCATCCAACTGCCTCAAAATTTTCCCATCTTTATCAAACTTGATCCCAGTTGACTTGTCCTTGTATATGCAGGTTTAGTTTCATTCATACTTTATCTCAGTTGACTAGTCCTCCAAACCTTTTACCGTAGTGCAACCCTGCTTCAAATTTCATTATCATTTCCATCAGTGGCGTAGCCACATGTAAGGTAGTGGGGTCAATTGACCCCACTTAAGTTTGAGTTCTTATTAAAATATATATGGATAAATAAAGGAAAAATTACCAATTGACCCCATTCTAAAGAAAATTTGAGCATATTGACCCCACTAAAATGAAAGTTTTGTTGTATTGACCCCATAAAACATTGGCTATTTTCACATATATGATATTTAAACTATATTTATAAAAAATTTGGCTATTTTCACATTTTCTTATATTTAAACTATATTTATATCTTATCCTCACTATTTTCATCTTATTGTTTAAGGTTATGTGTATAATTTCTATATATCCATATGTTTATATAGAAGATAATTCTTTAGCCTCTTTTTTACATTTTTCTTTTTTTACTTTCATGAATAAAAGTTAGTTTTTATTTTATATTATAATCTTATTTTCATTTGCTAAAAAGTATTATTTTATATAAAAATTCCATGATTTTTATATAAAAAACCTTATAAAATTAGTATTAAAAAATAGAGAAAACAAAAAATTACTATGATTTTGTAAACAAAATTGTTAAGTTCACATATATATATATATATAACTTTTATTTAGCCGATAACAAAATATATATATATACAAACACTAAAAGCTAATAATTAGAAAATATGATATTTCCTAAAAACAAAGTGATAAAAATATATAACTTTTTGACCCCACTCGATAAAATCTCTGGCTACGCCACTGATTTCCATGCATTATATGCTAGTTTTAACGTCCCATTTCTTAGCTAGCTATGTGGGATATGTTAACATCTTATCCCTTTATGATATTATAAATTAACATGAGTAAACTTTTTCTTGTTGATTATTTGAAATATTGTTTCATTTAGAATATTTCCATTCAAAGGTGAAAGGATTGAATAGTTTTTCAAGTAGAATATTTTCCATTCATGACCCATGAATTCAGTATTTACTCGCTGTCAACCTGAAGCATCTGATACAAATTATATGTCAAGACAATTTTAGCTACACAAGTTTACTATATAATTAATTACTCCTGTTGCTTAGCAACATTTTTTTCTTGGTAGTACACCAATCAAGCGTCAAGGAAAAAATGAATTTGGGTCAAGTGTTCCACAAAGCAATTGGCATTTCTATTTTTCTTGGGTTTCCACGAAGCAATATTTTCATGGTCTTTCAAAAAATTGAATTAATTAGCTCAGGCCTTTTAGCGGGTTCAGGCCTATTCGATGGGCTATGGGCTACAAATGGACTATTGGGTTAATTTTTTTGGCCAGAACTATTGGGTTAATTTGCTTTTGTGTTTTCTTTGAGAGGTTTGGACTAGTGATGCGATTTTAATGAGACTTTTGCCATCTCTTGCCTCCTTGGAGGTTTGGGCATTTATTTTGTCTGAAAATAATGGTTAAAGTACATAATTGGTCCCTCAAGTGATGCGACTATAGCAAATTGGTCCCCCAAGTGAAGAAATATGTAATCTAGTCCCTCAAGTCGAGTTAACCGAGCAATCAAGTAATTTCCGTTAGTTTCCGTCCAATGTGCCGTTAAACGTCCGACGTGACAGTGACGCCGTCAACTATGCTGACGTGTCAACTGCCACATCATACATTTTGATTAAAAAATATTTTTTAAAAAAAAACTATATTTTTTTAAAAAAATGGGTGAGGGACCTAATTGCTGAATTAACTCAACTTCAGGGACTCAATTGCTCACTAAGTTCATTTTAGGGACCAATTTGCACATTTGCCCCTAATTTTTTGTTTTTAATAAAAATAAAAAAAAATCAATTTTTCTGTTTTTTTTAAAAAACCATTTTTTTCTTTTTTAAAGAAGAAAATGATTTTTTTTTTAAATTTGATACTATCTCTTTTAATTTTGTTAAAAAGATGACAAATATTTTAGCCCATAATATTGTCAAATCTTAGTATATATATTGTAATTGTTTTATAAATTAACTATTATTAAGTAAATCAATATGAAATTGACTGATTAAAACAAGAAACAGTCAGGGAAGAGAAACTTGATATAAATTATTAGTATATACTAAATATTGCCAATTACATCATTTATAAATCTATTGTTGTTCCTATTTAAAATATTAATCATATTCACCACAAGTTTTGGAAAAGAAGAAAATTATTTAAGAAAACAGGAAAAAAATGAAATTTTTTATTTTTATTCAAAAAAACAAAAAAATTGGGGGCAAATATGCAAATAGGTCCCTGAAGTGAACTTAAATGAGCAATTAAGTCCCTAAAGTGGAGTTAATTGAGTAATTAGGCCCCTGACTCTTTTTTTTAAATATATTTTTTAAAAAAATATATTTTTTTAATCAAAAAGTGTGACGTGGCAATTGTCACGTCAACATAGTTGACGGCGTCACTGCCACGTAGGACATTTAACGGCACATTGGATGGAAATTACTTGATTGCTCGGTTAACTCGACTTGAGGGACTAAATTACATATTTCTTCACTTGGGGGACCAATTTGCTATAGTCGCACCACTTGAGGGACCAATTGTGTACTTTAACTGAAAATAATCGTCATGTTTTATTTTCACTTGTAATTGGTTCCTTTTTTAGCAGTGAAAGTTAAGGGTGTCCTTCTAATTGATCACTTTCACTCAAAACCTGAGAGGGTGATTCACAGAGGGAGGGTGTAAAAAAGATTGCAATTTTACTGTGAATTTTTTTAACCGTAATTCCTTACTTATAGACCTATATTTTATAACAAGGCATCAAAATTTTTAAAAAGGGCAATTTAAGAAATTCGACTTCTTTCTTTAGGAAAATAACTTGCAAACAAAACATAAGAAATCATTTTCATGGGAATTTAATTGTATGATTATAAGATACCTAGGAGAAACTTTGCAAGGATTAATTCTCATAGGATATTGACTTTACATGCTTTTATTTTACTACACAATTATTGAATTTGATGATTTTTTTAACCTACCCCCTTCTTGAATTTGATGAATGCTTTCTTCTTATTTTTCTGGCAGATATAATTCTTTTTTGTTTAAGTTGTCTAAAAAATTGAAGGGAAAAAAAAGAAGAAGAAGAAATATGTAAGCAATATGAGAAGAACTAATATGATAGAACATATATTACTTTGTGACTGAATTATTACAAAGAATTATTTTAAGCTTGAATATGAGAAATGATCAAAATCTATAAACTATGGGTTGAAAACACCTAAATAAGGTTTAAAAACAGACCCAATATACAATGATCCCTTGAACTCATGCACTTCACTTATGGCATTCAGTCTGTTTCCACCCTTTCCTGCATCCAACTGCCTCAAAATCTTCCCATCTTTATCAAACTTGATCCCAACCGGATCCGAAACTTGAACGTTGGACTTTTCACTATAATCATTAATTAATTTGTGGTCTGCCACTGTGAATCCCAACCCAGAATTCCCCATTTCCATTCCTCCTAATATTATCAGGAGTCCTCAAGTAATAAAAACCCAAATCTGCAAATTTTTCTGGAACTGGACTATTTGTCCCAAGTCTGAACTTCAAAACCCTATTTCTATTCGATTGCACAGCTAAAAGGAAAGATTGATTGCTTAAAGCAACCCCATTTCCAAACGACAATCCTAATTTGTACAAAACTGTAACTTTTTTGGTGCTTGGATCATATTTAAGTAACCTCCCTGTCGAATCACAACTTATTCTTAACATGCAAAAATACCTTCTATGGAAGATTGCACTACTATCTGTGAAATAAACAACCCCATTATTATCAATGTCTAGACCATTAGTGAATTTGAATGGGACTCCTTCAGCCTCATTAGCAAGTGATTTAGCCACACCGCCGTGCGGTCCGACCATTAATAGACCAAAATATGCATCTGCAATGTAGAGATCACATGTTGAAGGGTTGAATTCGAGTCCCAATGGACTTCCACAGATTGATTCGAGATCTAGGTCCGTTTTTTTTTTCTTTCTTTTTTGTTCTGCAATGTCAATGGGAACAATATTACAACAAAGGTGGAGGGGAAGGGAGGGCAAGGGTTCGAACCCCTGCCCCCCATGTGAACTTTGGAAGCCTTGGTCATCGGGCCAAAGCCTCAAGTTCGAGATCTAGGGTCATGTAATCAAAAGTACTGACCTTATGATTGATTGATTCAGCTGTGGTTTTTGGTTCTTGGAAACCTATTTCTATGACCCGTAGGGGGCCTTCTCTATCGCATATCTTCTTCGCTGACGATCTGATTTTACTTGGGGAAGCTTTCGTTGCACAGTGTAAAGTGATGGTTGATTGTTTGAATCGTTTCTGCTCCTTTTATGGTCAGAAGGTTAATTTTGCGAAGTCTCTTGTCTACACTTCGCCAAATGTTTCTCCACAGTTAGTAAACAATATTGTTGCTCAAACTGGTATGTCCTCTTGTGATGACTTGGGGCGGTATTTGGGAGTTCCTTTACTTCATCGTAGAGTATCTCGCCACACTTATGATCATCTTATTGATAGGGTAAAGAAGCGTTTGGCATCTTAAAAAGCTAATAGTTTATCTCTGGCGAGCAGGGCTACTCTGGTACAGTCGGTTACCAGTACAATACCTGTTTACAATATGCAAACTTCCAGATTGCCTAGTTCTGTCACTAAACAGATTGATTCGCTGAATAGAAATTTCCTCTGGGGCTCTACTGCAGAAAAGACAAAGGTGCCGCTTGTTAAATGGGATTCGGTTTGTCAGTCTAAGAGCTCGGGTGGCCTGGGTTTTCGGAAACTTGGATTTATGAATCAGGCATTGCTGGCCAGATGGGTTGGAAGTTGGATAATGGAAATACTGGTTTATGGGCAAGGGTTTTAAGAGCAAAATATCTTAAAGGTCAGAGTTTTGTACGCTCGACCATGTCCCAATGCTCATCTCATACCTGGCGTAGTATTCATTCGACCAGTAATCTTGTTCTCCAAGGAAGTGCAAGGCTTATTGGTAATGGGCTTACTACGTCTTTTTGGAGGGATAAGTGGCTAGGAGATAAGACTTTGGCCGATAGATGTAGGGTTGAGGTTTTGCCTCAAATGCAAACGGAGCTGGTTTCAGACTATGTCTCACCTTTGGGTTGGGATTGGGATAAACTTCAGTTTCTTCCTCACAATATCCGGGAGGAATTGTCTCTTATTTTACCTACTCATGGGGAGATGGACCGAAACTATTGGTTGGGTTAACCTGATGGGTTGTTCTCAGTTTCTTCTGCTTACAAGTTACTTGCTAATGAGCCCTCTGTTGATTTTGGTTGGAAGAAACTTTGGAAAATGGATGTTCCGCCTAGAGTGAAGCATTTTCTCTGGTTGGTTCGGCATGAACGTCTTCTTACTAAATTGGCTTGTTTCCGCAAACATATTACTCCTGTTGCTACTTGTCCAAGATGTGGGGTTGCTGACGAATCTGTTCTTCACGTTCTTAGAGATTGTGGTACATCTCAATTAATTTGGTCCCGTTGGTTACATGGTGCCAGGTTGGTTTCCTTTAATTCTTTGAATTTAAATGACTGGTTGCGTTACAATTTCTCTTTGAGTAGTTTCTTGGTGGATTCATCAATTCCTTGGCCTATGTTTTTTAGCTTCATTTGTTGGCATATTTGGAAATGGCGGAATTGTTTCCTATTTGAGGATAATTTTACTTGGCCTGAGAATCCGTATTTCATGATCTCTAGTAGTATTTGTGAGTTTCGCAGTTTCAGGACGAATCTACATCTTCTAAATTGTAGTTCTACTACCCTTATTGGTTGGGTGAAGCCCCCTATAGGGTTTGTTAAGTTTAATGTTGATGCAGTAGCTAGAACAAACCCAGGTGAGCTGGCGGCTGGTGGCATTTGTCGAGATTCTGATGGTCTGTGGCTTTTCGGCTTCACTTGTAAGTTTGGTTGGGGGCATATTTCGAAAGCTGAATTGTATGCTATTTATCATGGTCTGCGGATTGCTTGGCAATCTGGTCATAGATCAATCATTGTGGAATCCGACTCTCTTATTGCTGTTAACAAGATCCTGCAGCCTCCATCTTTACATGATCCTTTATCACCTGTTATATAGAGATGTCGTGAGTTGCTTCAGCGTGATTGTCAGTGTTCTTTGATTCACATTTACTGTGAGGCCAATATGTGTGCGGACTACTTGGCCAGTTGGGCCTATCAGGGGTCCTTTGATGTTGCTGTTTTGAATCAACCGCCGGGTGTGCTCCATCGTTTCATCGAGGAGGATATCCGGGATGTGTCACGGCCTAGGGCCATTGTTAGCTAAAGCGGTCTTGGTCCATTCTTATGTACCAAAAAAAAGTACTGACCTTATAGTGGATTGACCCGGTTCGAATAATGTTTTGCTATACCACGTTCAGACAGGGTATACATATTGATCAACATTTTTTCCTACATATTTCCAAATTTAACTTGGAAGAATCTAGGAAAAAATCTTGATCAATATATATACCATCTGCACGTGGTATGGCAAACTCTTTCCAGCCAAGTTTTGGTCCTTGCCATTTGAGAATCCTACCATCGGAAACACCAACATATGGCCCTTCGTTTTTGCAAGTTCATCAGGCAGATTTACTTGAGAATAATTTTTTGGGATGTCATCGTGATCAATTACGAAGCTTTTAGCTACAAAAACATAAGGAACAAAAGCTTGAATAATGAATGATTTAACTTCATGAGTTGGATTGACATTAAAGGAGGCTTATGAAGAGAAAAGAGACTATATATCTACGAAGGAACAAATTATACTGTGTTTGTATATATAGAAATAGAGAGTCAAATATTCATTCAGTACGTAGTTTACTATAATCAAGGATTTCGTATCAAATCAACAACAATCTCGCGAACTGGTTTCGTGAATAACTAACTTAGAAAACTCATACGATTAATATTTTAAATAACCGATCGAATTGTACTGTAGATTTGATCATATCCTACCACAAAAGAAAGCTTTGATCTCATCTCACATAGTATTTGATTTTCTTAGCTGCTTCCTTGGGGAGATAAGATTAGACTCATTATAAACCATTGAGCTAATAAAAATCATTGCAACTGACTTGATGGCAGGATTTTCAAAGCATTAATTCGGACATGTTAATTTGCCAACAACATGCATGCTAGCTAACGTATATGTTTAAATTATGTCGAACAAACCAAAAAAAAAAAAACACGTATCTATGTTTGTCGATCTCGCTTTGCATTACACAAAAGAGGAAAAATCTTCAAGTTGATTGGATGCTTGACTTGGCATGGCTTGGCAGCATTTATGAACTACGCAAGTTGGGTTTCAAATTCATGACAACCACCTAAAAATATTCAATGATATTTCAATTTCATATGTAAATTAATAAATTATTTGATTTGATATCATTATCAAGGTTTTTCCCACATGTATATATATGTAGTGGGATACTTGGTAAAGAATGGATCGTTCGATCACCAAAACTGTTCTTATAATATTTAGATTTTTTTTTTTTTTGAATTGGGTGATGAGAAAGTTGTGCATTCCATCTGTTCTCTGAGCGACCAACCAAAAAAAATTTAATTGAATCGTATAATTCTTGATTAGTTAAGGGTTGAAACTTGACTTATATGAAATAATAATATAGCATTTGTTCCTCTTTTGTCAAATAATTAAGATTTTGGTAGATTTTAACAGTAGTTCCTCATTATGAAGCCATACAACTTGGAACTGGGGATCAATAATTCAGAAGAACAATCCATTAAATGTAATATCTATATCTTGAGATTCACTTTGGTTGTGGGTCTGTGTCAACAGAAGTCTCTGCAACAATTGTCTACTTCTTTGATTATTATTTCTAATTAGCTATTTTAATTGAGTGTCCAACCACTCTAAGCTACTCAATTAATTATATGGTTGTGAAGTAAGTAGTATTATTTGGTTCTATTGGGTAATTTACAACTCTAAAATCTTTTCTATTAGCCACATTGATATATGTTATATAGCTCAGATATGAGTAATTTAAAATCTAGAGTATAGCCAATGGATCAAGAAAATTATTGCATGCAGAAATGCATGCAAAGTGCAAAGAAATTCAATACATTTCCATTCCATATGTTCCAAGTTCCAACATGTTGGCATGAATTTTCACCAAGAAATTCAATCCTATGCTTTCCACACAGCATATATAATAAATACTTTCTCGATTTTTTTCCCGAGAACTGTAAAAATTAGTAGTGACTTAGAATTGTCACTTTCACAGTAGTAACATTAGAAGGGTAAAATTTCTTTCTTTTTAAATATTGGAGTACTAGAAGTCTAGATGCCAAGTGCAGCCCTGTGCGCATGGGGCAGAGCACATTAACAGGGGAATTAAAGAAGATTTTTATTTCCTGTTTGTACATACATGTTTTTCATACTTTGGTAATTTGTTTTTGAACTTTATATATCTATTTTGGTTTAATTGCAATATAACTTTATAAATAAATACTCTCCAACTACTTTATTTGATCAGCTCATTATTCCCATTAATTATTGTGTGTGTGTATTATATAAAGCAGCTCTGAATGGTTGCAGTTGTACGTCTTTCATAATAAAAGTGTTTTCGTCACCTTTAAATCAGTAACAAAATTACTAAATTTTCGTATTTGAAGCCATACTATATCCCCCCCTATATTCACCCATATATGACCATGAAGAAGTCTCAATCATTCAAGTTTCTGTTGCTTGTGTTCTTCCTGCTGGCTCAAAACATCATGCAATCCCATCAACGGCGTCTTGAAGAAGGCGGCAGCGGCGACGGTGATATCCAGAGGAGTTACTATCAAATTGACCTCCCTGATCAAGTCATTGGACCCGAAAGCATTGCATTTGATTGCAGAAAGGAAGGGCCTTATATTGGTGTTTCTGATGGCAGAATACTCAAATGGCAAGGGCCAAATTTTGGTTGGAAGGAGTTTGCCATACCTTCTTCAAACAGGTATATATATACATATGCATGAATTCATAGAATTTCTTTCCTCCGTTGCTTTTCTCAAAAGTAATGTTCATGCATATTTGTTTTTTAAACATATCATAATCTTGTAGATGAAAACCATACATACGAATAGCCAATTGAATTGAGGTTGGTTTGAGTTGGTAATGTTAAGGTTTGGGGTTCGAGTCATGCCAACAATTCTCATTGGTGGGTGGTGATCTGTAAGTACTACTGTGAGTCCTCTCTGAGGCTTATGGAATGCATTGATCCTGAACTGGGGCAACATCCCTTCACCTAAAATGACTAATCTACCATTTTGCCCCCTGAACTTGTAGCGTTTAGATGTTTTGCCTCCCGAACTTCAATCTTGGACATTTTGCCCCCTGAACTTCAACTTTGGGACGTTTTGCCCCCTCAACCTAACGGCTCCGTTAAGTTGCTGACGTGGCATTGCCACATGGCACAAAATGCCATGTGGCATTGCCATGTCAGCGGTTAACGTGGCAATGCCACGTGGGTTAGGTTGGTCTGACATGGCAATGCCACGTCCGCGATTTAACGGAGCCGTTAAGTTGAGGGGGCAAAACGTCTCAAAATTGAAGTTCATGGGGTAAAATGTCCAAAATTGAAGTTCGGGGGGCAAAACGTCTAAACACTAAAAGTTCAGGGGGCAAAATTGTTGTTTAGTCCCTAAACTTTTTTCAACAAAAAAAAAGCATATATATACGCAATACATTATAACTTGAGTACTTTTCAAGCCTTTTTTTCCTTTAAACTTGATTTGATTTGGTTATTGTTTTGGTAGATATTCAAATTTTTGTTCCTTTCATGTTCTGATTAAGCTAAGATCTTTTATATTTATATGTCAAGTTCCGTACATATAGTTGGGGATATAATTGAGCTGTATTCTTTTACATGATACATATATATGTAATTAAGCTAGCTAATTAAGCTCGAGAGGTAATTAGGATGACTTCAGATATGGGTAGATAACTTAGGATTAATCAAGTGATTTTGGTTGAGGTGGTAGAATCGATCAAGTTGAGAACACAAGTTCGATCTTCAGAAGCGCATTTGTTATTAAAAGTGCTTTAACTTTTTCGCACTCCCAATCCGAAGGGATTAATCTCAAGTCCAAGAGGCTGGGGATATACCATTGGTAAAACCCCCCAACCCCAAACATAAAAGTTCAAGCCGTACAACCTATCTGTTTTTCAACAATGAGTTAGCATTGAAAGTTGTTAATGACCTTATTGGATTCCTTTCTAGATATATCAGCAATTAGTATCATTTAAAGCAGTATTGTACTAATTGTTTCACCTGCAAAGTAGAACTAGAAAAGGACGTTTCATCAGCAATATTGACCAAACAAATTTAATGATGTTGGAACTTTCTTGTCTTCTTATTGGATAATTAACGATCTTACATTCATCATGACATATCATCCATCATTCAACTGATCAATTCCCGTTAATTGTCGATGTTGGAAGGGATAGAAAGTTATGCGATGGATCGTCAGACCCAAATCTCGAGCCAACATGTGGAAGGCCATTGGGTCTAAAATTCAACCATGCAACATGCCAACTTTATATTGCAGATGCTTACTTCGGACTCCTCATGGTCGGACCAAATGGTGGCGTGGCTCAACAACTTGCTAATTCAGCCGAAGGAATCCCTTTCAAATTTACTAATGCTTTAGACATTGACTCAAATTCGGGTGTAATTTACTTCACAGATAGCAGCATCTTCGTCCAAAGAAGGTAACCCTGTAATTTTCTGTTAAATTCCCTACATGATCTTTCTGATTATTGGAAAATTATTCAATATATTATCGGTGGAGTTTAGCAAACTACAGATACGGAGTTGAAAGGTTGACATGTGTCATTTAAGAAATAGAGTTTTTGAATTTTAAAAACAAAATTAAATCAAAAAATGGGTATACGTCACCCCGCTTGTGGAGTCTAAATTTTACATTGTTAGACTGTTAGTATATCAAATAATTACATCTAATTATAATATTGTGATTTTTGTGCAGAAATTATGTCATGTCTGCAATAATGTTCGACAGAACAGGAAGGCTACTTAAATATGATCCTGAAACTAAGAAAGTTACTGTAATATA